GTTTGGTATCAAGTATAATTGATTATAATTGTATCGAAAATTAGACGAGTAAATAATCGATTATTTGATTATAGGGTTTTATATTTAATTGTAATTTGAGTTTAAAAAAGAAATTATAATCAAATATTAATTGATTAAATTCGACTGTTTCTCAATTTTAGTAAGACTGGTAGTATAATCGATTATCAACGGTTGAACCGAATGCGAATTTTCTGAGATTAATTTTTGGAAACTATTTTCTGAGATTAATTTTTGTTACTCCAATGCTGAATCAAAAATTATGAGAGGTATTTCTAATATTTCAAGTGCAAAACATTTCTGCTTGAGGTGGTTTTTTTAGTCATTTTTCGGCTAAAGATAGGACCACCATTTTTGCCAAACATGACACCTACAGTCACAAGACATTGAAGTTGCGACTTTTTCCTTACAAAGAGCAAAGGAACAGTTTTTGACAATTGCTAGATGAAACTTTTCCAAAACTGTTCGTAAGACGCTTGTCGAACCAAAGTTTGGTTTATCGATTTTGATCGCGTAAAATAGCCTGAATAGAAAACTTTGTTTCAGATTTGTTTTTGATGTAGAAACAGCGCAAGGAGTTCGAAGTTATGGGCTCAACGTTCTTCAGAAGGTAAAGAGCTTTACTCACTCCTTATGCATGAATGAGAGATGAAAGAACTGAAAACGGCCGGCGTCAAAAACAGCAGCGGGGTCAGGATCTAAATAAGCCAAAAATGATTTGTTCTAGCAGAAATTTTTTAAAAAGTTGCTGCTTCGATTCTTGTAGAGAATTCTCAGAAACAGTTAGTTTGTAAATACATTTTGTCCTCTGTTCTGTTTTAAGCACTAAAATTTTTTTTATGTTTGTATCTTCAGAAATCTTTTAAAAACCGAACTAAGAAAAAAATTCAGTTTTTTTGTCTGTCATTTTTCCACGGTTTTTATAGTAATTCGAGCGCGTCAGCTTCCCATGAACCAATTGAATGTTTAATAGCACGTCGAATTCACAACAGTATCGAAGCAGCCTTTGAAAAGTGAAGAATTTTTTTTTGCCAAACCTTTAACGTAACAGAAGAGCGTGTTTCTTTTCTTTTTGTGACGTTATAAAATCTTTTTCTAAAATTACTCTGCGTCAAACGTAGTTGGCCGGAAAATTTTACCAACAAATAGTAAAACATAAGCTTTCATTGCTGTTTTCCATCCAAATACGTTTCAAATAATAAAATCGGCCTTTTTACCATCTCCAATTCATCATATGGTGTAAAAACGGAATTAGAAAAAGTATCTGTCAGCCAGAGAAATTTAAATGATACCTAAGACTTAGATAGAATTGTCATGAAATAAAAATTTATATGGTCAATTTTTTGTATTTATTTTTGTGCAACCTAAGGAATCGAAAGTTTGAATAAAAATAATGGTTTGGTATCAAGTATAATTGATTATAATTGTATCGAAAATTAGACGAGTAAATAATCGATTATTTGATTATAGGGTTTTATATTTAATTGTAATTTGAGTTTAAAAAAGAAATTATAATCAAATATTAATTGATTAAATTCGACTGTTTCTCAATTTTAGTAAGACTGGTAGTATAATCGATTATTAACGGTTGAACCGAATGCGAATTTTCTGAGATTAATTTTTGGAAACTATTTTCTGAGATTAATTTTTGTTACTCCAGTGCTGAATCAAAAATTATGAGAGGTATTTCTAATATTTCAAGTGCAAAACATTTCTGCTTGAGGTGGTTTTTTTAGTCATTTTTCGGCTAAAGATAGGACCACCATTTTTGCCAAATATGACACCTACAGTCACAAGACATTGAAGTTGCGACTTTTTCCCTACAATGAGCAAAGGAACAGTTTTTGACAATTGCTAGATGAAACTTTTCCAAAACTGTTCGTAAGACGCTTGTCGAACCAAAGTTTGGTTTATCGATTTTGATGGCGTAAAATAGCCTGAATAGAAAACTTTGTTTCAGATTTGTTTTTGATGTAGAAACAGCGCAAGGAGTTCGAAGTTATGGGCTCAACAATCTTCAGAAGGCAAAGAGCTTTACTCACTCCTTATGCATGAATGAGAGATGAAAGAACTGAAAAAGGCCGGCGTCAAAAACAGCAGCGGGGTCAGGATCTAAATAAGCCAAAAATGATTTGTTCTAGCAGAATTTTTTTTAAAAGTTGCTGCTTCGATTCTTGTAGAGAATTCTCAGAAACAGTTAATTAGTCCTCTGTTCTGTTTTAATTCTCAGAAACATTTTGTCCTCTGTTCTGTTTTAAGCACTAGAATTTTTTTATGTTTGTATCTTCAGAAATCTTTTAAAAACCGAACTAAGAAAAAAATTCATTTTTTGTGTGTCATTTTTCCACGGCTTTTATAGTAATTCAAGCGCGTCAGCTTCCCATGAACCAATTGAATGTTTAATAGCACGTCGAATTCACAACAGTATCGAAGCAGCCTTTGAAAAGTGAAGAATTTTTTTTGCCAAACCTTTAACGTAACAGAAGAGCGTGTTTCTTTTCTTTTTGTGACGTTATAAAATCTTTTTCTAAAATTACTCTGCGTCAAAAGTAGTTGGCCAGAAAATTTTACCAACAAAGAGTAACACATAAGCTTTCATTGCTGTTTTCCATCCAAATACGTTTCAAATAATAAAATCGGCCTTTTTACCATCTCCAATTCATCATATGGTGTAAAAACAGAATTAGAAAAAGTATCTGTCAGCCAGAGAAATTTAAATGATACCTAAGACTTAGATAGAATTGTCATGAAAAAAAAAATTATATGGTCAATTTTTTGTATTTATTTTTGTGCAACCTAAGGAATCGAAAGTTTGAAGAAAAATAATGGTTTGGTATCAAGTATAATTGATTATAATTGTATCGAAAATTAGACGAGTAAATAATCGATTATTTGATTATAGGGTTTTATATTTAATTGTAATTTGAGTTTAAAAAAGAAATTATAATCAAATATTAATTGATTAAATTCGACTGTTTCTCAATTTTAGTGAGACTGGTAGTATAATCGATTATTAACGGTTGAACCGAATGCGAATTTTCTGAGATTAATTTTTGGAAACTATTTTCTGAGATTAATTTTTGTTACTCCAATGCTGAACCAAAAATTATGAGAGGTATTTCTAATATTTCAAGTGCAAAACATTTCTGCGTGAGGTGGTTTTTTTAGTCATTTTTCGGCTAAAGATAGGACCACCATTTTTGCCAAATATGACGCCTTCAGTCACAAGACATTGAAGTTGCGACTTTTTCCCTACAAAGAGCAAAGGAACAGTTTTTGACAATTGCTAGATGAAACTTTTCCAAAACTGTTCGTAAGACGCTTGTTGAACCAAAGTTTGGTTTATCGATTTTGATGGCGTAAAATAGCCTGAATAGAAAACTTGTTTTCAGATTTGTTTTTGATGTAGAAACAGCGCAAGGAGTTCGAAGTTATGGGCTCAACGTTCTTCAGAAGGTAAAGAGCTTTACTCACTCCTTATGCATGAATGAGAGATGAAAGAACTGAAAAAGGCCGGCGTCAAAAACAGCAGCGGGGTCAGGATCTAAATAAGCCAAAAATGATTTGTTCTAGCAGAAATTTTTTTAAAAAGTTGCTGCTTCGATTCTTGTAGAGAATTCTCAGAAACAGTTAGTTTGTAAATACATTTTGTCCTCTGTTCTGTTTTAAGCACTAAAGTTTTTTTATGTTTGTATCTTCAGAAATCTTTTAAAAACCGAACTAAGAAAAAAATTCAGTTGTTTTGTCTGTCATTTTTCCATGGCTTTTATAGTAATTCAAGCGCGTCAGCTTCCCATGAACCAATTGAAACCTATAAATCACAATTCTTTGTGTCTGTTTGCGAGGATACTAACATGGCAGGAAAACCTATACGTGCAAAAATTAGCTGCTCAGCTCTCCATTTTATTGTCTCAGGGTTGTTTGGTTACAGAAAAAATTGATAAACAATTTTAAATGAACAAAATGTTTTATACCACTATGATCCCGGGTTGACGCTCACAGACCAAAAATGCTAATCAAATGCTAAATTGCTGACAGAAAAAGTAGGTCTATGAAAAAACTCTAATCATACAATTTTGATAAGTTTTTGCTAAATCGGAGTTATCGACTTTTAAATCAAGTCTTAATTGGAAATTTTCTATCCATAAGAAAGCCAATACTTTAAATGTTTTTAATATTGATTGCACTCCTGTCGAGTTTTCAATTTGATTAGTGGTTGTGCTAAACGGAATCTCAAACCAACTAATAGAATCACACGAGAAACAAATAAGTAGGACAGTAAAATACGTGGCAACCGCCTTAAATTCAATACGAGAGGAAAGGAGAACACCCAAACCATCAGCTGAAGAAACATCGTTCAGAAATCGCATCTTCACGCTTCGGAATAAAATTACAATTATAGAAAAATTTTTTGTTTCTTGGGATCGTTTCCTATATGGAACGTTATACAATATTATATTGTAATGAAATACGCTTTAACATACAATACGATGATGTTGAATTTTATTTTTTTAAAAGTTTTACCAACAAGTTTAATTTGTGGCAGTATATTGAAGAATAACTTGGGTTAAAATTAATTTTATTTGGCCAATTTCATTTTTATATTACATTGTATGACCAATAACTTTGCTTTTTAAATTTTCAAATTTTAATTTTAATTTCAAATACTTGATTTTCAACAAACGAATTGTTTTTTTTCTTTTTTGAAGAGGTGTATAATCCGTGCTTCGAGTCGTCAGACTGAGATTTGTTAAATCCATTGTCATTTTTTGCTTTGCTCATTTGATTTATGTATTATTCCGTCAATAATTTTTGATCATGTAGTAATAGAAAATTCGCATGCTATACAAAAACTTAATTGCATATTCACAATCAGCAAGTAAAATAGTAAAAATAAATCTATCAGCAATGTTTAATAGCACGTCGAATTCACAACAGTATCGAAGCAGCCTTTGAAAAGTGAAGATTTTTTTTGCCAAACCTTTAACGTAACAGAAGAGCGTGTTTCTTTTCTTTTTGTGACGTTATAAAATCTTTTTCTAAAATTACTCTGCGTCAAAATTCGTTGGCCAGAAAATTTTACCAACAAAGAGTAACACATAAGCTTTCATTGCTGTTTTCCATCCAAATACGCTTCAGATAATAAAATCGGCATTTTTACCATCTCCAATTCATCATATGGTGTAAAAACAGAATTAGAACAAATATCTGTCAGCCAGAGAAATTTAAATGATACCTAAGACTTAGATAGAATTGTCATGAAATAAAAACTTATATGGTCAATTTTTTGTATTTACTTCCGAGACAATCCAGTGCTAGTTGCGAAAACCCCGACCTTCTTTGATCTGGTTGATACCAAACCGATACTATAAAAAACAAATATTCATCAGTGTGATTATATCCAAAAAGATACAAATGCGTTTATACAAAAAATAATAGTTTGGAAAAAACAGCATTGACCTTTTCACATTTTATACAGCTTTGATAAGATATAAACTGACAAATTCCAACTTTACTCAAAAAAGTGATGTCGAGTTATCCTACTAAAGAAAAGGCTCCGCCTGGAAGCTACAATTTAGGCTATAGTCAGCCAAATCCACCTTACGGGCAGCCTCCGCATCAACAGCCCGCAACATTCCAGAACACTGGAAACTTTCTGTAAGTTCCAAAAAAAACATTAAATGTATGTCTTTATTTCGGTTTTGTAATGTGTGTCTTAATTTCATGTGTTTACACCAAAACCCTAAATTTTTCAAATAAAGATCAAAACCATCAAGGTGATCCAAACAAAAATACGGTGGTCACGGTGAAACTAACAATTTCAAAACGGAAACCCTGTTTGAACCTCCCGTAACGCCCAATACGTATCTCCTGACTACCGCTCAAACTTTCAAGCAGGCTTTTATAATAACTTTGATCGACTTGTTTGCCAGCGTTGTTTTTAAATTAAAAATAATTTTAAAAAGATTTGGGTCTCTGTTGCAGGAATACGAATGTGAATGTGTTGGTGTATGGGGTTGTTCCGAGTCGGGACAGTAACACGGCAACAATCCAGTGTCCCAACTGCAGAACCACAATCCCTATAAGCGTCAACAAGGAGAAAGGTAAAGTAAAGGGGTGAATTCTCAGTTTTTCACTTGTGGTCTAGTTTGTATAACCAATCTAGTTTAATATTATCGTTGTACCAACAAAAAATGTCATACTCAGGCACATAAGACATTATTATTTTTAAAAAAAATTGTAGAGAAAAAAAGCTTTTTCAATTTAAAAAATCTAAATGACCTACTGAATCATCTGCAAATGGTAAAATTGATATTTATCGATTCGAATTAAAATGATCTTGTAAAAGTTGTTAGTTTTAACGATGCTGCGTGCAAAAAAACCTAGAAGTCACCTCTTTTATAAAGAGCGTCCATAGACAAAATGCGTAACATACAGTTTTCATACAAAATTCAAAAAAATTTTATTACAAATTTTTTATAGTTGGCTCACTTAAAACTTTCTGGTCGTGTGAAAATCATAAAAGTTTTCGGATAAAAAATGCTTAATCATACAATTTCATGGATGAAAAACGTATGATAAGCTTTTTTGTAGATTTTTTTTCTCAAAAATCTCTCTACAAACATGTTTTGTTTATTACAATTGAAGTTGATGAAGGCTTTCAATGACAAAGAGCAACTCAAGTATCAAAAACATGATTTACTTTTGTTCCAAAATCATATAACTTTCAAATAACTTTCAGAGAAAAAATAGAAAATTCAAAAATCATTCGAAACTTTGTTTGGCCAATTTTAAAGGAGTTCAATAGTGGTTTTCAGTATTGAGATTAATTTACTGCCAAAAAGATAATTTCAGTTTCGGTACGAAAAAATGCTTATCCTTTAGTTTACATATATGAAATTTGTATGATATATTTTTCATTAAAAAATAAATTTGAGGCTAACAATTTTTAATCATTGTTGGGTTGCAAATTTGCTTTTATGCTGAGCTATATATGTTACAAAAAAATTTGTGCACTTTTTGTGTTTATAACGTAGCCCATGATACCAAAAAAGTACCAAAAATCAAAAAAGTGTTTTCTTTTAAAACACGATTATGATTTTTTGTTTTCTTATGATAAGATCGATACAAATTTATAAAATGCAGGCTTTTCTTTCAATCACAACAACTTTCAAACTAAAAATTATCTAACCACATACAAGAAAGTACAATTTAGGTACATAATTCCATGTGAGAATGTAAAACTTAACTTACATGACTAAAAGCACCAAATCAATTTATCTGCGTGGTAACTGCCAGTCACGCTCTGAGTTTCCTTACAACAAAATCATTGGTTATTAGTTCGGATGAAACACAAAAATCCAATTAGTTTTTTTTTTACTTTTTCATTTATGGAAAGTATGTATATCACACAGTTTTATGGTATGGAAAATGTTTGTCCTACATTTTTTTACAATAAAAAACTTATTTTGCTATTTTGATAAAATCTTTGTGGGAAAAGTTTGGCAAAACGCGTGTTATTAAGTTCCAGAATGTGCAAATATATGCTGTTTTTTTCATTATATAGTATGGAAACATGACTTTTCTTGCTATTTCATTATTAATTTTTTTTTGATATTGAAAATAGTATGATGATACTATATATATTTTTTCATAATTCAAAGTAGTATGATAAGCATTTTTGGTCAAACCGGGTTATTCTAATATCTTCACTGAGTTAGGAATCAATTTCTACAAAAGTTTCTCGAAAAGATTGTGAATCTCATTTTTGAACAAGTCATTTGGCTTATATCTCTACCTATATATTGCCAAACGATTCGTTCAAAAAACTCAATTAACGTGATTGATATTAATTTCACACAGGCGTGTTTCCGTAATTGTCGAGAAAAAAGTATTCTTATTTACCATTTTTATGTAAAAATTTACCTTGACTCAAAAACACCAAAAAACATCCGAATCACATTACGAGGCCAAACTGTGCACTAGATAGACGCACAATTTTGTGTCTGTATGTTCCTGGATTCCAGAGACTAATTTTTAAACATGTTCCCAAACGTAAGTGGATTCCACCTACAACATTTAAGATACATATACCTGTAACGTAAATTTTGTCGGCATATTTGTTTTGTCGCTGATTCCGCAACAGAAGAATATAGCTAGTAGTTCTGGATTCCGCAACTGTATGCAAGTTCCGCAAAAGTAAGTGGATTCCCGTAAGATTCCTTTACAGTTTGCGGTTTCCGCTAACAATTTGCGGATTCCAACAACAGTTGCGGATTCCATGACAGTTTAAACTTACTAATTACATATATTATGATTTGTTTGTGGATTCCACAAACTTTTCCAAAACAGCAAAAAAAAATCAAAGAAAAGTAACAATGTTGTGGATTCCGCAACATATCTGATTTTAGCTTTTTCCGGAATTCGTTTACAATGCACAAAATGCACAGTTTGGCCTCATAATGCAATTACATTTTACGCTATTAAACATTATAATATTTTTCAAGGCTATTTTTTTGAACTCGGAGTTTTATAAAAAATTGTCTGTGAAACACAAAACAACTGCGGATTGGAAGGCAGATTTTTAATAGCCTTGTGTGATGATTCGACAAATGGTTTTTTGATTCAAGCGTTGAGCTAAGATAATTATTACTGAATTTGTCATCTTGCCTTATCAAACAAATTTATCAAACTTCTTCTGATAATCTGAAAATATGCACTACCGCTGCTTTCAATTTTCTCATGGGAACATTTTTCGCGTTTTTTTTAGGTCGGCAAAATAAATTCAAAGGACACCCGAAACGCTTGGAGAAGACTTTTTGTCAAAAATAGATTGAAAAATGAAATTCATTCTTAGAATTAAAAACAATGTTTATTTTTCAGGTATGGGTACCAGGTTGATTGCGGGAGTTTTGCTTCTCGTGTTCTGCTGCGGCGGATATCGTCTCCTTACCCTCTGCATTGATCTGTGGAAAGACGCCGTATATTCTCGTCTTCCGAATTGGAGGTACGTCGTGGGTTAGGGATGGGGGTACGTTGTGGGTTGGGGGAGGGGGGTACATAGGGGCGGGGCGGGGGAGGGGTGTTGAAGCGAGGAGCTGGTCAAAAAAGCTGTTTTTGGGCACTTTTCAGAAAATTACTACATATTGGCCGCCCCTGGATGAACGTGTTCGTTCGGGTTTTGCAGAAAGTTGCAAAATAAGAGTAATTATTTACAAAACTTTATCAATTTTCATGGATTTTATGTAAAACAACATTCCATTATAATGAAAAAAAAAATGGATTATAATCGATTATAATGGATTATAATGGACTTAAATTTTTCCAAAATAGTCGACTAAAATCGGTTTAAAATCGATTACGTGGTCCAAGTTTCACATGATAAACGATTATATAGACAACATTTTAGTTTAAAAAAATCCATTATAATCGATTATTACCCATGAAACTTCGGTTCGGGTTTTTTTTAAAATAGAGTTCGTTTTTTGACGGGTTATGACGACAAACGAGTTATATGTCGAACTAAAAAAATTTTAATGTAAAAAACTCGATCAAACATTTTGGTATACTAGCATGAATATTGTTGAGTAGTATTTTTCATGGATCTAGTTTATGGAGTTGTAAGATTAGCATTTCCGTATGGAGGTAAACCCGAGTGATATTAGAAGTTTTGTATGTTTCGACGGTTAGATCGTATTTATTTTGCGGCAAGGATTGATCAAACCAGTGATCAAAAATTAGGTGATAGCAAAATTTCTGGCAGACGAAATATTATTTGGTTGATAGTATTCATCATACATCGGCAAATTTCTTTAGAAATGTCAATTCACAAATGGAGTTGAAACCAGATCTTGTTAATAAATCTACAACCTCCCCCCCCGCACCCTCCACAAATGTAGTTTTATTTTTCTGTTCACAGGTATAAGGATGTTCTGTCTGATCTGGTTGTAAGGGTTTGGGGCTATGTTAAGTCTCTGTCTGATTTCATTCCTCGAGGACTCATGTCAAGATTCCTGTCTGATCCCAGTCCTCGAGGACTCATGCCAAGATTCCCGTGACACACGGGTCCAAAATAACACACACATTGGAACCAAATCCATGTGCTAAGCTAGTGTGAACAAAAATGTGTGAACAACGAAGAGAAGAGAAAAGCTGTTTCAAAACTAAATTACCTTTAAATATTACTAACATTAACAGTCCACAATTACATTTGAAAATTTACACTGCATTTCATTTGACCTAAGCCGATGAGTTAATTGAGTGGAGAAAACTGTGAACAACATAGAAAAAAACTGAACGCCAAAATTATCTTGATATTCTATCTTAATTTTATTAAAAAACAAAATTGAACTTTATTTTTCTCATATTTTGGCATTAACACATAGAAATCGGAGGTATTTTCCTTGTTGAGCCAATGATGATTATGAGGGTTCTTTTCACTAATTCAGTCATCAAATTACATGTCAAATTAAGACACAAAGAAAAAAGGATAGCCTGTCATTATCCAAGAAGCACAGTATGTTGCTATCGTAGAATTAAAAATTACAAAAAGTTTTACAATGTTTTTTTCTCCAAACTAGTGTCGTTTTTTTTTCTGCAGGATGTGATAAAAGGATCTAAAAAAAATTTGAACTTGGGAATTTTCGACAGTCATAGTAAAATTAGCAAAAATTGTAGAAAAATGACTAGGAAAACAAAAGAAACGTCAAAAACTGAATTCAAAAAACTTTCATATTTTTTTGAATTTTAGAAGTTTTTAATATCCAAATGGCGCTAATAACAGCAAACTGCAAAAACTAATTTTTTTTCTAGTACAATTGAGCTTTCACGCTTTAAAGTAAGCTAATGTAAGCCTACACGCTCTCACCAAATTTGTTGGAAATTAGACCAAAGTCAAAAAACTCAAACCGGTTTTCATAGACAAGGTGGAAAACTTTTTGAAAGATTTTGATGTCGTTCGAATCACGACTGAAAGGGCTATCAAATGTTAGATCACTCGAAATATTCAGCATCATTTGTTGTACCTGAAAACAAACAAAAAAAACAAAACAAAAAGGAATCGGAAAACTTGGATAGCCGGTTACTGTGCAAGTAGCACAGAATGTTCCGACCGTAGTTTTAAAAAAATCGTGTCGTTTTTTCTGCAGGTTGCGATAAAAACTTAAAGAGAAAACAGAGATTAGTCAAATTCCACGGTCATAGAAAATCTGCAAATTGAAAACACAAATAAAATCGAACTTTTTTAAGTTTCTTAAAAAAAACGTTTGAATTTTGAAGTTTTTGATTCCAAAGAAAGGCAAAATTACTCAACGAAAGCAACGTTAGTCTAATAAAATTAAGTTTTTACGTTTAAATTAGGCTATTACATGAACTACAAGACTTAGGTATCGTAAGCCTGTTCACTCGCTTTATTTGATCGAATCAAGGCGAAAAACTAAAGATCTCCAACCTGTTTTTCTCGACCCTGGGAATATGTTAAAATTGTTGTTTGAAATAGAACTCTAAGGGTTTTAACATGGTATATGATTCAAAATTCTCCGATGATTGTTTGTGGTAGCTGATTTTGCGTGAAAATAAATTTAAAAAATGAAAAATAAAATAACACACATCCGAAAACAAAATTCGGCCTCATTTTTCAAAAGGTCGAAGCAACAAAAACTGCCTAAGCCTGATGCTTGAATTTGAATTACTGCAAAAATTTAGTTTGAATATCACAATACAAATGATTCCTTAAAACTGAATTGAACTGAATGTGTAAAGTCCGTTAAGGGACCTCGAAACAGATCGGATTTAAAATGAAGCTGACGCCCCACCACTCTCAGACATTCAATCCCCTTAACAGCCGACCCTCCCCAAAAATTTCGAAAGATGCCCTCGGCGCCTAATAATATCAATAATCAAAAGAAAGCCTGTGCAAATTAAACCCCAATTTTTTGAAAAAAAATTTTTAAAATCTGCCCGTGTCACAGTAATTTTTCTAGAAATAGGATTGTACTGGGAAAATCAAATTGACAGTCATAGAAACCAGATGTCGACAAAAACTTCAATTCTTAGAAAACTTTCTTAGAAAATCTGTCTCTTCCCCTCGCGAAAATCCTAGATCCAATAGTGCCTGGAACTGAGCAGAAATTTGAAAATTCCCAAAAATCTTCAAACAAGTTTACACTAGCGCACAGTATTGTCCAAATTTTGAGTTTTTGCCCAGAAGGTTTTGAAAAAAAAACTCTTTTTTTTTAGGATTACAGGATCGGTTATTTTCTTAATCTGGAGTTTTTCTTAGTTTGTGGATGTAAAAGCAAAACAAAACGTATCTAGTTTTGGGCAAAAAGATTGACGGCTTTTTTGACAGCCGATTCGTTTTCAGCAGCCTACAGCCTATTCAATTTAATACAGAATTTTCGTTTTTTGGTAGATACGGGTTCGAAAATGTGAGTTTTACCTTGTTCCACTAAGCTTCAGATCAATTAATAGATCTTCATGCATTCAATTGATAAAAAAAACTTGAAGTTCCACGAAATATAATCGAATATAATGCATTTTTATAATTGGTCTCTCTGAAGTTTGAAAATAGGCAAGTCTACTCGATTTCATTAGATTATAATCAACTTTTTAAATTTTTCGTGTGCAATTTTAATTGTTAACATTAAAGTTAAAATCAAGTTGATTAATTTGTGAGCTCGCTAAATTTGCATTTGCGTTTTTTATCTTAATTTCATTTGTGTTTGATGACAAATTACGTACGTGTTTTTGTTATTCTTTTATTCAGTGTTTTAAGCAAACCCCACATTTTACTCTACCCCACCCCTCCCACAAGTTTAAACATCAAGTCAGAGACTGTCCTTAGTAGGTCAGAACCCGTCCTAGAAACCATCTTGTAGGTGATCATATAAAGATAACCAACTGTAGAAAAACTGTAGAAAAATCTCAAAATTACCTATTCTGGTGGCAGCAGGGTTGTTGTTGGTTTTGGGGCTGGGAGAGTTTAATGAAGGAGTTTGACGAGCAGGAGACACGGGTAGTGAACAGTGATTATGGGGATGAACGTGTTCATTCGCGCTCGAGTTAGCAAAAAGCTGCCAAAAATTAAAAAAATCGGTTAAATTGAATACAAATGAAAACAAAAATGGACTATAATGAATTATACTAGAAGTTTTTTAGATAATCAACTAAAATGGATTTAAAATCCATTAATTTGTCTAAGTTTGCCATGAAGATCGATTATGTAGAAAAATTTTAAGTCAACAAAAATGTAACCGATTTCTAGCCATGAAACTTCGATGAAGGGTACTTCTTAGTTTTAGAATTCGAATAGGATCATTCTTTATGTTTCAATTTCATGTTGAATTTTGGATCCAAGAATTATTTTTCTTGTCAGAACGATTTTTGAAGGTGTTTGATTTTGATAATTCGGAACAACTTATAACGTCAAAAAAGGTCAGGCAAATACGGTCAGGCTAAGAGGCTCAAACAAAGGCAAATGTATAGGCCCTTAATTTGGTGTGTGTACGTATCTGGATTTCAGAAAAAGATTTTTTAAACTTGTTCAATTTTTGTCGGAACGATCCAAGAAAAGGAAATATCAAAAGCAGAACAAAGAGAAAGCCCTCGTTGCGGAACCCGCTTACAATTCACAAAATAAATAGTTTGTCCTCGTAATGGAGCTCCATTTAATTTAGATATCACTGTGCGAAACATAAATTAAAGGCTTTAGTAATTATGAAGCAAGATCAAGTCAGAGACTGTCCTTAGTAGGTCAGAACCCGTCCTAGAAACCATCTTGTAGGTGATCATATAAAGATAACCAACTATATCAAAGCGAACATAGGCTGTCCCAAGTGCGTAAGACTATTCGTACGGCCAGCAAAAACCTCAAAACTAATTAGATTTGTATATATAAGTAATCTAGTCACTAATTTTTTGTCGCATTTTTTCCTGAATTGTCTCATTTCTTAACTAACAAAGTTACAGAGACTTGTTTTCGATTTTTTTTTTTCAGAAATTTGCTGCCGGTTTCTCTTTGACATTTAAAGTTTTATGTTTATGGACTGAGAAAAAGAAAATTTCGATTGTTTCAATTCGAATGATTTCGGATTACAGTAGTTTTTGGCCTGAAAATAAAATTTTTTTTTCTTCCGTTCAACTCATGTGTTTATTTAATGAATGTGAGTTTCGGTTCTAATGATTTCGGTTTAATTTGATTGTCTTTTTGTATTTTTAATAGCGGCGACGACAATTTTTCTTTTGCTCAAAAAATGCCTATATTTCATGGACATTACAGTGCAGGCCTTCCCGGTGGTAAGGTTGAGGTCGGTTAAGGTATTAGTTGAGATGGATTGCAGTCAGGTTAAGACGAGCCTTTTTTGCCTTAACTGTTAAAGTAACTTGAAGCAATTTCTAAGATAAATTTACTTCAACTTTCTTATGTCGTTAATTTTCATAAAAAGAACAATAGTGGCCAAAATCAGGTAAAAATAACCAAAAAAAAACAAGTTAGCTATGGCCGGGCCTGCAAGACTTATGTTAGGAGCAAAATAATTTCCAGTATCAAATGAAAAACCTATAAATCAACCATACTAAGAATGAACCCGTTCCAAAACTTTCAGTAACACAGACCCAAAATAACTCAAACTCAAAATAAGTAAATTCTTTTGAAAATTATTGATACATAAATGTATTGATTTTAGTAGGGTGTTGACTATATATAATAAACTGAAAAAAATATGAAATTTTTGAATTTTGAACTCTTGTTTAAAAATGAACGTAGTCGGAACTATATGTGCTTCTGATTCTTAAAAAATTTGCTCAGTGAAGAACTGCTGACAACATTTTTTTAGAACCCGAAGATCCGCTGCTGACAAAAGCTTTAAAAAACCAAAAACCGACAATAACGATTTTTAGTGGATCTGTTTTTTTAACATTATGAGAAACAAATTGTTTAAAATTTCTGAAGATAAATTTTGTTATAAATTGAGTTTAATGTTGCCTAGAATTAAAAAAAAATCGAATACACTTCAAAATAGGTATTAAAAACTTTAATGGACTCTTCAGAAGTGAAGAGTTTGATGACAGAATAATAATATATATAGTTTTTTGTTCATAAAAAACAAA